TATTGGCAAAAAAGGGCATCAGGAGAGAGGTTTGCCATAGGGAGGCATTTGGTAAAAGCAAAAGATAAAAAAATATTCAGAAATGTGGGGATAGGGGTCCATTGAAGGCAACTCTGAGGGTAATATTAAAAAAAAACACCAATCCATTAAATTATATGCTTAAGAGATGTCTTTAATCTGTATGTGGTGTTATGCAGCAGTACAATTGTCCCCAAAAGTGACAGCAATATACATTGAATATGTTATGCTTTTTTTGTTGTTGTTGTTGTTGTTAACATTCATATTTAGGATAGCTTAAATACAGCAGCAGCACTCCAATCTGATTCATTTTAACTGAAAAAAAGTATTATTAAATAGTTTTAAAAGTTATATAAAAGTTGGGAAGCAGATTTAGGCCGGCAAATCGACCCATCAGATTGGGACCTCATTTGGAACAATACCAAGGAGTCCTCGCAAAATGTTGTGGCCCTGGAGACCAATTACAAAGTCCTGACCCGCTGGTATCTTGTCCCAACCAGAATTGCGAAATTTACCCCTGATTATCCTCCAGTTTGTTTCAGAGGCTGCGCAGACCTAGGAACATTTTTTCATATTTGGTGGGATTGCCCAATTGTCCGAACTTTTTGGGCGGAGGTATTCAGAACACTGTCTGCACTCAGTGCCACAACCCTCCAACCAAGTCCTCTAGTCGCGCTTCTCAATCACCGGCCACCAGACATCACGAAGGCAAATTTTAAGCTTATTCTACAAGTCACCACTGCGGCCAAACAGGTTATCGCTAAAGCCTGGAAATCACCCTTACTGAGTACGACTGCAGTCATGACTAGGGTCACTCAGGCGATGATCCACGCAAAAATAGAAGCCACTATCCTGGATTCCATCCCCAAGTTTAAAAAGATTTGGAACCCATGGGTGGAGCATTTCCTCCCACCCAACTTTGACGAGTCCCTTCTCAACCCATAATCTATGTTTTCTGCTTTACGGAACCCATCCTTTGTTGATACTGCGGTTATTTGGCTATTTTCAGTATCCCCTTCCTTGGAGCTGTACACCCTATCCCTCCCTTCCTCTCCCCCCTCCTCCTTCCCTTCATGTTAGGTTCTATTTGATATTTGTTGTTCACTCTTGTTAGTGCTGCCTGACTAGTATAAATGGGATCCTTTCCTGTTCATTTACTGTACACCTCCAATATCCCATTTGCTTACTTATAACTTATGTTGTTGTACTTTAAAACAATAAAATATTTGAACAAGAAAAAAGTTATATAAAAGTTGTAGTAAAGTTTCCACCAAAAAATAAGGCTAAAGCCCTCACCTCCATGCAAATTGTGCCAGTGGCAAAACCGTATCTACAGTGGTGTAAGCTGGCAATCCAGCTAGCAACACAGTTCCCAGTGACCCCACTCTATGCAGGAGCAATGGAGCCACCCTTGTACAACAGTTTTGTCTCACTAGGAAATTTAGATGGAGTTGACTAAAAAAATTAAAGCCGAACTTCAGCAATCAGCAAAGCTTTTTATTCTTTTAGGATAAAGGTTTTACATAAATGAATAAAAACGATCCATTGTAAGCAGTTAGGATAAAGGGTTTGTCTCAACTGTCCAACTTCCACTTTTGTTGGACAGTTTGGTCTGTTAAGAGAAGCTGAAAAATAACAGACTTCCTGGCCAGAGCGCCAGGTAAAAATTAAGGAAAAAATACCCAAAGAAGATAAAACTAATGCATGCACCACATTTAATGATTAGTAAGCTGCAATATATTATGTTTTTGCTTTTAGGTTAAGACATGCTTTAGCCACTTCCCAACCACCCTATAGCAGACATACTGCTACAGGGCGGCATGGGTATGCAAAATATATACGTGATTTTGCAGTTCTGGGTAGGGGGTGTGCGTGAGGCGCTTGCGAGCCCTACCCATGCCACCATTCGTGGCCTGCGGCTGTCAATCACCAGTCCCGGCCGGTGATTACTCATCGGCGCCAGGTGATTACCAAGCATCTCCAACGGGGAGGAGAACTGTATGTAAACAATACAGTTCTCCTCCCTGTCAACTCATACACACTGCTTTGGATGGCTTTGCACAGCACAGCCATCCAAAGCAGTGTGATTACAGTGAAGCACAGACACACAGACACAAGTAAAACAGCACACAGCACACAGTTAACCCTTTGATTGCCCCTTATGTTAACCCCTTCCTGCCCAGTGCCATTAGTACAGTGTCAATGCTTTTTTTTTTTAGCACTGATCACTGTGTTGGTGTCACTGGGGATGTCAGTGACACCAAGTCAGTTCCCCCAGTGTCAGAATGCCCACCGCCATCCCACTATAAGTTGCTGATCGCCGCCATTACTAGTAAAAAATTTAAATAAAAAATTCCAGTATCTAAATCACCATTTGTAAATGTTATAATTTTCACATAAACCAATTAATTTACACGTATTGGGATTTTTTTTAAGCAAAGACATGTAGCAGAATACATTTTGGCCTAAATTCATGATGAAATTAGATTTTTTTACATTTTTTTTTACTGGACATGTTTAACAGCAAAAATTCAACAATATTTTTTTCTCAAAATTGTTGGCCTTTTTTTTTTATAGCGCAAAAAATAAAAACTGCACAGGCGATCAATACCACTGCAAGAACACCAAAGTCATGGGAACAAAGGGACGTAAATTTCCTTTGGGTGTAGAGTTGCATGACCGTTAAAGTAACGCAGTGTCACAATGCAAAAAATGGCCTGGTCAGGAAGGGGGGGTAAATCCTCAGGAGGGCAATTAGTTAATAACATGTTTTGTATGCTTAAATTTTTTCAGAGTGCAAAAAACTTAAAATTTACAACCCTACATTCTCTGAGCCCCCTCCCACTCCTGAACTCATTTATTCCCAAAACGTTTAAAATATAGACTTTGGTACAGATGTTGATGAAATAATAGATCCTATGAGAATTTTATAAAAAAATGATTTATTGTTCATCCATCTAAACTGCGTTTAAATTACAAAAACTAAAAAAAAATCTAGTCTTTAGAGGGGACCCTTTCACCATCAGGAAATGTGACAAAAAGGTTTTTACACTGCACCTTCTCAAAGTGTTGCATTTTTTGATCTTTCTGGGATTGTATCAGTAGATTGGCCCTTTTACCCTTGTTTCGAAGATTCAAGAGGTAGGCCAGCCAATAGTGGTCCCTCTCTTTGATTACCTGAACTTTGTAGTCCTTGCTCAGTCATTTGAGCATTAAAGACCCCATTCACCATCATTTGCCTGAAGTGGAGGACTATGAGTCCTCCATATCACTGAGAACCATACTGTCTTCAACTATCTAACCTCACCTACATACAATTTGAGTGGGATTCCCCTTGAATCCTGCCCTGCTGTCTACCTCCTCCCAACCACCAGAACCCCAATTCTCATCCTGCACATATTACCGTACTTCTCTATCGCCTGCTGCAGATTCTTCTAGCCCTATGACAACAGCATATCTCAATCAACATTGACTATTTTTAATGCTTATGCTGCTAGCATTAGTAAATAGGTAAAAAAAGTACATCATATTTACTTGTTTTAAACCTATTTGTTACATTTCAGTTTGTTCCTGATTTCCAGGCTAAGATAAATTATGTCATACACGCCAGGAGTCTTCAGTAGGGAAGGAGGAGTTTTCTCAACTAAGCATACCCTTTGGCATGCAGGCCTGGCCTAAGGGCAGATGGATTCCAGAATGAATCATATGCATTTATGCAAGATGTTCATGGCCAAAAATGCTAGGAGGTGTTTTTCAAAGTGATTTTTACGCAAAATAAAGCATGGAGACATAGACGGGTGAGTTTTCTTTGAATAGGAAAAATTAATAAAAAGCGTTTTCTGTTTGTGGTGCTCAGACACAGTGTAGTTCCACTTTAAGGACATGTGTCAGTCAAGATACATGTGTGATTTTTCTCAAGCAAAGGTCAGACTAGCTCTTTTGTCATGAACCTGTGTTACACTGGTCTATTTGAATTACATGGGATTTAAAGGGACGGTTCACCATTCTTTGAGACTTTATTCGGATGACACTTGTAGTTGGTGTATTTGGATCACGATCTATAGGACACATATCACACAAGTCCATGTGCTGATATTCAATATTTAAAGGGGCAGTTCACTATTAAGGACATTTTGTTTGTTATTTGTGTACACAATTCATTTATAGCACCATTTATGTGCAGTCTATGGATCTTATATGTATGTATTGGTTAGAAATCTGGTATAGCACACATTGATTTTCACAAGCACAGTTTTTGTTTTTTATTGCACGTATTATATTGTTAGCACCATATTTGTATATATATTGTTGCACTGTATTTCTTCATTGGTTCATATTTATCATTGCTTAATTGCATTCTCTTTTCCTTCAAGAAGACTGCAGACCAGTGTTAACAGTTTAACCACCTCCCGCCCGCCATATAGTAATATGACAGACGCAAGGTGGTTCTCTAGTTCTGGGAGGACGTCATATGACGTCCTCCCATTCTCACCGCGTATGCGCGGCTCCGGGAGCATGCAGCGCGGCGATCGACAGTGCACTGTGTCTCTCGGACACAGCAGATCACCGGTCACGGAAAGAGCTGAAGATGTCAGCTCGGTCATGTGATCAGCTGTGTCCAATCACAGCTGATCACATGTAAACAGGGAAATGCCGGTTATTGGCATTTCTCTCCTCTTGAGCGGTCACGCTGACAGCTCGAGAGGAGAGGAGAGCCGGTAATCAGCTTTCCGCGGAGGGGACATGTACACTGATCATCAGGGCACTGAAGATCAGAACCCTAAGACTGACATTTGCACACTTTGATCTTGTTTGTTAGTAAATTTCATGCTTCCAGTCACTGTTTTCCTTCGTGATCGCTGCAATTAAATCATCATCAGGGCACTGATGATCAGTGTGCCCTGATGATCAGTGTAGCGCCAGCAGTGCCACCTGTCAGTGTCCATCAATGCCTTGTGTCAGTGCCCATCAGTGCCACACCAATGCCACATATCAGTGCCTACCAGTGCACATCAATGCCACATATCAGTGCCCATCTGAGCTGCCTTTCAGTGTCACCCATCAGTGCCAGTCAGTGCCACCCATCAGTGCTGCCAATCAGTGCCACCTATCAGTGCCAGTCAGTGCCGCCTATCAGTGCCAGTCAGTGCCGCCTATCAGTGTGCATCAGTGCCGCCTATCAGTGCCCATCAGTGCCAGTCAGTGCCGCCTAACAGTGCCAGTCAGTGCCACCTATCAGTGCCAGTCAGTGCCACCTATCAGTGTCGCCTATCGGTGCCATATATCAGTGCTGCCTTTCAGGGCCCATCAGTGATGCCTGTCAATGCCCAACAGTGCCACCTACCAGTGCCTCCTCATCAGTGCCACCTATCAGTGTCCATCAGTGTAGCCTATCAGTGCCCATCACTGCAGACTCATTAGAGCACATCAGTGAAGGAGAAAAATCATTTACTTAGAAAATTTTATAACAAAACTAAGAAAAAATGTTTTTTTTTTCAAAATTTTCAGTGGTTTTTGGTTTAAGAAAAAAATAAAAAACCCAGAGGTGATTAAATACCACCAAAATAAAGCTCTATCTGTCACAAAAAAAAGATAAAAATGTAATATAGGTACAGTGTTGCATGACCACGCAATTGTCATTCAAAGTGTGACAGCACTGAAAGCTGGAAATTGACCTGGGCAGGAAGGGGGTATAAGTGCCCTGTAGGTGAGTGGTTAAATAAGTAAAGATATCCTCATATGAGAATATAGCTACTCCACCCTATGCTGATGCATCTATTATCTACTGCTAAGTGGACAGTGGCAGAATGAAGAGTAGCAGAGTGGAAGCATAAGGGAGAGTGGAGGGGAAGAAAAGTGGGTGACCTTAGTATGCATGTGAAAGGATCGTATTCCAGCAGTGTACCTAATATCTTCTAATTCCTTTTGCAGTTTGAGAGCAGTAACAAAGTGATCCCCAAGTAGATGGTGGACTTGGAGAAGCTGAGGTTTTTAGCACCAGAGTAAAGTTGCTTTAGCTATCAAGCAAGATTAGAGATAGATTCATATATTATCACACAGGACACCCTTATGCCATGTCCTGCAGTTGCATACAATATGTGTACAGTAAATGTAGCACAATACTAATCTGTATGCATTGTCTTGAAACAGCTTTACATTTCACTAAAGTAGATCATCCATGCAGATCAATACATCAGACTTTATAAATGGACATGGTCTGCTTAACTTATCTTGACTGCTGGACAGAAATCATTCTAATATTATTTGTGAATAAACTATGATTTATTCCTCAGTATAGAGTTACAGATTTTTTTTTATTAACCAGTAAGTTGTAATTAAAAGTGTTTATACTTTATTATACATCACTTTTATTATCAGTAAAATATTTTCGCATTGGATTTTAAACACACCTTTCATAGGAATGGAAGACTAAACATTTCATTAACAAGTTGTTAAGCAGTTAATTGCAAATTCTATGCAGTGAAATATTCACTGACAACTTTTTCTAACTACTCAAGCACCATGAAGTATGTTACTTTTGTAGGCTTTTGCATCTAGCTGGGATTTTTGTATTTCATTATTGTAAAAGGTAATGAAATTTAAAGTAAAATTGTCCACGTGTAATCCAGTCTTTCCTACCTGTACAGCTGCATGTATGGTCGAACCAGCAATACTAACAAATCAGTAGGAAATCAACACATTACATTTTAAGATTAACAGTAATATTTCATGGCAAGCACTCAGTTGTATCCCACAAGTTGCATTTGAAGGGGGACAATTTTAAGGATTCAATAATTTCCAGATGATAGAGTGTTTAGGACTAGCGTGTGCATGGGAGATGTGAAGGTCTCCTTGTGGACTTTAGTTCTAGGGTTTCTCCTGTATTGCTGACCCCCGGTCACTAGGTTTTGCTGAACCTGTGCAATAGCTGCACCATGTATTGCCATGTCTTAAAATACTAACTAACCAATTACTTGCAGCTTTATCTGATAAATAAAGTTAGGCTGTGTCTGTTACACTGTAATTCTCATGTTGTTAATATTGGAAACTTGGGATGTCTCCAGAATAGGCCAGAGCTGACTTACTGCATTCAACAGTTTATACCCATGCATGACGTACTACAGTACTACTACAGTTAGAAATTAATGCTACACCTTGTCAATTCTTTCTATGTCCATTTTTTCATTTAAAAAAATGGTAAATCACATCTTCTGTCGGTACTGCATGCACAAATAATTTCATGTTGGTAGGTTAATGGGCTCCTGTCTAAATTGTCCCTAGTATGTGTATGTATGAATGTGAGTTAGGGACTTTAGATTGTACGCCCCCTGAGGGTTAGGGACTGATGCGAACGTACAATATATGCATGTAAAGCGCTGCGTAAATTGACCTGAAATAAATACCTGAAATAAATAAAATAATTTCATGTTGTTGCCCTGCAGTCAAAGGAATGACAAAATGTGATAATGCAGCACGCATATTATTACAGCTGCTACACAGTCTACTACTACATAGGCTACATACCCTTATTATGTTGACTACTACTCTAGTCACATTCTAGTGAAAGCAAATAAGTCAGTGCCTATATTCCACAATTCGTATCAAATGCTGATTAAGAGCAATTAGTTGAGAATCAGTTGCCACAGGGTACCCCTGGATCCCATAAAACTCATGGGTAGCTATAGTATTCAATGTTATTTTTATAGAAATTAAAACACTGAATAATGCTTCTACAATAACCCAGAATTCTAGGGGCACCTCTCAATACTCATCAGACTGTTGAGACTCTTTGCATTACAGGATGCACTGGGAGTATAGGTCAGTGATTAGCTCTTCAAGTCATCAAGTCAGAATATATATATATATATATATATATATATATATATACACACACACACACTATATTGCCAAAAGTATTGGGACGCCTGCCTTTACACACACATGAATTTAATGGCATCCCAGTCTTAGTCCGTAGGGTTCAATATTGAGTTGGCCCACCCTTTGCAGCTATAACAGCTGCAACTCTTCTGGGAAGGCTGACCACAAGCTTTAGGAATGTGTCTATGAGAATGTTGGACCATTCTTCCAGAAGCACATTTGTGAGGTCAGGCACTGATGTCGGATGAGAAGGCCTGACTCACACTCTCAGCTCTAATTTATCACAGAGGTGTTCTATCAGGTTGAGGTCAGGACTCTGTGCAGGCCAGTCAAGTTCCTCCACCCCAAACTAGCTCATCCATGTCTTTATGGACCTTGCTTTGTGCACCGGTGCTCAGTCATGTTGGAATAAGAAAGGGAAATCCCCAAACTGTTCCCACAAAGTTGGAAGCATAAAATTGTCCAAAATGTCTTGGTATGTTGCTGCCTTAAGAGTTCCCTTCACTGGAACGAAGGGGCCAAGCCCAACCTCTGAAAAACAACCCCACACCATAATCCCCCACCACCAAACTTTACACTTGGCACAATGCAGTCGGGCAAGTACTGTTCTCCTGGCAACCGCCAAACCCAGACACATCCATCTGATTGCCAGACAGAGAAGTGTGATTTGTCACTCCAGAGAACACGTCTCCTCTGCTCTAAAGTCCAGTGATGGCATGCTTTAAACCACAGCATCCGACGCTTTGCATTGCACTTGGTGATCTAAGACTTGGATGCAGCTGTTCGGTCATAGAATCCCATTCCATGAAGCTCTCTATGCACTATTGTTGTGCTAATCTGAAGGACACTCGATGTTTGGAGGTCTTTAGCTTTTGACTCTGCAAACAGTTGGCAACTGCTGTGCACTGTGCGCTTCAGCATGCACTGACCCCCCCCCTCTGTCATTTTATGTGGGCTACCACTTCTTGGCTGAGTTGCTGTTGTTCCCAGTTGCTTCCACTTTGTTATAATCCCACAAACAGTTGACCGTGGAAAATTTAGTAGCAAGGAAATTTCACGGATGGACTAATAGCACATGTGGCAAGGTGCTTGATTTTATACATCTGTGGCCATGGAGGTGATTGGTACACCTGAATCCAATGATTTGGTGGGATGTCCCAATATATATATATATATATATATATATATATATATATATATATATATATATATAAAGTTGTAGGTGTCCAGCAACAAAAAACTTGTATCAGTTGGAACTGGGAGGGGGTGATATTTACTTTTAGAAATCTCCTTGTCGACTTTCTGGCTCAACTTTAGTTTTTGCTTGGAACTTAGAAGAAGGGGCTAAAACCCTAAAGCTTGAACTGTTAGTGCATATAAAGTATCACAGTGCTCACCTGTGTTGTCATAAAAATAAACTTTAAAAATAGGGAATTAGGCCTAAAAACTCCAAAATAATCTACTCAATCTAAGAAACAAATAATTATAAAGATATAAATAATTACCTTTAATAAGACAAAATACCAGTTACCAGATTAATCAGCTTGTAGTTATCTATGTATTATGCATGAACTGCAAATGTCTTCACAATTTATGAAAAAGTTAGTTATTTCATATAAATTTCTTCTATCACACACAGGATAGAAAAAAAATAATACTGCAGACTTCCCAGACAAAGTTTTTCATAATTTATTACTGGGGAAAATTATCATTCAGCCTGGGGTGCTCCCTAGGTTTTATGGCTGAATATGTTTACATATTCTTTTATATACTGTAATACAAAAAAAATCCTTTTTATATAGAGGTGCAGCTAATCATAGAGGGACATCTTTAAATCAGTTTATCCATATCTCATCTATTCTGAATACTTGACTGCTTGAGTAATTCCAGCTATTCATGAAAGCCATGAGAGGTGTAAGCTATGAAATGACCTTGCACAGCAGTACAAATATCACTGAATGACAGTAAAAGGCTAGTCAATGTCATATATGAGGTATTGCATTTTGAAAGTTCCAATTAAAATTACCTTGGATTTTTAAAATTTATTTATTCTTTGCCAACCATTCGGATAAAGAGAAAGTAATCTAATTCCCTTTTCAGCCCTCAACCTTCATTTAAACAAAAAAAAAAACTGACACGGAACAGATGTATCTTAGTAACTATAACAGATTATTTCTTATAATAGCACAAATATCCTTAACTCTTTCCTTGCCAAGGATGTATTATAAACTTTATAGTTGTCCCTCTCTTAGCTAGCACAATTAGGACTCACAAATGTACTTAAATCAGTATAGCACTATACATATTATGTATTCTCAAACATATTAAAGGTTTAAGAATATACATTTAGAAGTATTTATGTATTTCAGCCAAAAATCCAGGGCTTATCTAAACTTGGAACAGCAAACTCTGACAGCTATATTTTGGCCAAAAGTCATTAGCCTTACTACATTGGATTACACAATTGGCAACACCTGCCACTTATACAGGCTTGAAGAAGGGGGGGGGGGAGTTCCCCAAACCATGCTGGC